TCTAAGGAGACCCTGGTCCTGAAGATCTCAGGTCCTTGCATCTCAGAAAGAGAACAAGACAGAGACACAAACTTCAAAGCAGTAGCAAAACATCATTGAGAGAAAAGGAAAGAATAGGCAAAGCAAAAGAAAAAGCGGTGGGTCCCAGCCAAGGGCACAGAAACACCACCCATTTTTGTTCAAAGGGCAACTTACAAGCTATAAGGGCAAAAGTAGGAGAAATCTGAGTAGTCTTTGCAGGAGTGGCTAGGACAATTGACAGTTTTGGTTGACAGTGTCCTTAATTGGATGTATGAGATGTGACCAATATTCATAAAGCCTTAAGTAGAAGACTTTACCTTAGAGGTCAAATTGAGGACAGATTCTCCTTTACTGGGCATATGCCAAGAGGTTTCCTTGTCTTTTGGGGCACTTATATCTGCAAAGATATTTACAATCAAAAAGGATTTTACAACTGAGGGAATGTCTCAGAGTCGTACTGGGTGGGGAGAAGGTGACCTTTTGCTGAAAAGGATGAATTTTCATGAAGGGTTACTTTCCCATTGGCTAGTCTGGTTGAATTTGGGAAAACTGCAGTCTCATAGCAGGTCTTTGACTCCCTGTCCAGCCCCAAATCAGGTCATTCTTAGCCAACACAGGGCAAACAGAGGATCCCAGACCCTGTCCCCCATCCTCTCCACCCTGCCCTTGCCTAGTCCACCTCCATCATGCTCAGTGAGAGATGAAATATGGTAAAACCTGTTCTGCAGCCATTTGGATAGGTAGGAATTTTCCTGCTGTTCTAAAAAGAGCCATAACCCTCTGTCATACGATAAAGAGCTGAGCGTTGACACCTGGTGGACAGTAATTATTATACATTTCTGGCTGAATTGCTTGGATTCTGCCTGTAACCAAAGATGTCTAGACTACAAACCTCATCAAAGCAATAACTGTTGCTGATAATTTCTGAAGTTATAAGAAATGTTTTTTTAAAATCGAGTTGCAGAAGAATCTTTGTTCACACCACCCACAAGTTTTCACTGGTATATTTTGCTTAGAACTAGCGGCTAATGGGATCTGAGTCACTAGCTGAGCCTGAAGCAGTTCTGAGGTGAAACCATTCTACATTGACTCACCGGCATTTCTAGGAACATGTGGATTATTGCAAATGCTAGCCACACAGCCATTGTTAACAGGGGGGCTGTTTGCTGTGCATAAGGCCTCCGTGTGGGACTGTATTTGTCTATCTATCTAGAACAGTTTACCTCTTAGAAACAGAGTATGGAGAGAGGGTAGGGAACAGAGTTTAGCCCCATGGGGAGGCTGTATTGGGTAGGAGTGGAAGGTCCTTGAGCCCCAGGTAGTCCTACATTGAGATTTTAAAATCACCTTCAACAAGTTTATAATTAATAGCACTTTTGTTATTGTTTCCTTTCAAGTTAAAAGAAACCCTCCCTCCCTCTACCACGCCACAGGGGAGTTTCCTTTACAGTGAAGGTAATGGTTTGCCAGGTGCAGTCTTCAGAAACACAGCAAGGTGTGAAGACAAATGTTTCTACTTAGAGGGAAATGCATCTTCATTACACACCAACAATGACAGTGTCAGAATGAAAGCCTCCACCTGGATGGTTGTCATCCAGACTCTGAGAAAACATGGCCAGGTTCTCTGAATGTTTGAGTCTGTCCTGGTGCAACCCGGGAATCCTCATTGCATGAGGAGCCTGGCATTGCCCTGTCTCGGGAAGGGCAGCAGCAGATCTCCAGCAACTTTGGTCACCAGTGATGCTTATAGCTATTGTTTATTAAGTACCCACTGTGTTTCTACATTTATGTCATTTTCCTTCACAATAACCTGAGGACCTAGGAATTGTCTCCCTCATTAAAAGGTGGGAAAACCAAGACCCTAAGAAGTTAACAAGCTGCCTAACGCTCTGAAGCTCATCAGTAGGAAAGCAGGGATTTGAACCCAAATTCGGGTGACTTCCCAGCCCCCTCCAGTGTAGTCTCCTTTTGCCTCATTAAATGACTGATTGTGCATTGTGGCAGTTCTTTAGCATTTGCCTCAGGGGTAATGCCCTGAACAGTCACTTATTCTTCAGGCCAAGTAAGAAAAAATGCTGCCAATAGCAAACTTGTATAATTTATACAGAGCTTCTTTCATGAGTTTTCTGGGATAATTTTCTAATCCTACAGTGGCCCTTGGATTTGTTTGGAGAGTCAACTAGGAAGAGAGTCTTGATGTTCTGTATATGTTTTTTTTTTCCACTAGAACTTTTATATTCTAGGCATGCAACGTGATGTTTTGATACGCATTTACATAGTAAAATGACTGCTACAGCTAAGCAGGTTAACATATCCATCTCCTAACATAGTTACTTTTTCATGTCTATACTGACAGCTGAAATCTCCCCTTAGCAAAATCCAGGACACAATACAGCATTTCTAACCACAATTCAACATTAGGTCTCTAAACTTGGTCATCCTACATAACTGTACCTTTGTGCCTTGTGAACCACATTTCCCATTCCCCACCTCCCCACCCCTGCTAACCACCATTCTATTCTATTTCTATGAATTTGATATTTTCCTGTTCTATATGTAAGTGATATCGTGATCATGCAGTGCTTTTCTTTCTGTGTCCGGCTCATATCACTTAGCACAGTGTCTTCTGGGCTCATCTGTGTTATCACAAATGGAAGGATTGCCTTATTTTAAAAGGCTGAATAATATTCCATGGCATATGTATATCTATATATACACTATGTTTCTTTGTCCACTCATGGTTGATGGACAGACACTTAGTGTTTTCTTAACAGAAATGGCCTCTGAACACGTATAGCAGCCCTGGGGAACACTCACGGTAGTGTAGCCAGGGGACCCCAGGAAGCCTGATGAGCAGGTTAGCCCTGAAAGCCACTGGGGTGCCCTTCCCTATGTTCTTCCTAGAACTGATGGAGAGAAACTGACACAGAGGAAGGCCTCAGTGAGGGAGGAGCCTCACCGTGGTATCCTTTGGACCTCCCAGACCAGCAAATATTGTGGGTGCCTTCTTCTCTGTCCCTCTTGCTCCCAGCTGTCCTTCTCTGTCCTTTCCTGCTGCCTTCATTACTTCCAGTATGCTCCCAGAATAACCTGGAAGTAGGGAATCTGAAAATAGCCCCGTTTGTAGAAATGGAAGTGCATAGAGTTGTGTGACTCTGTGCCATTCCATGGATAGCACAAAAGAGGGCATCTGCCAGCCCAGGGGACACCCTAGGACAAAGGCAGCTACATGCTGCAGACCTCATTTCCTAGGTTCCCTTCTGGCTTTCTCCAGTGTCTTGTTCACTCTTTCTGTCCTGGGGGCATCTCCTTGGGCTCCAGCTCCCATGGTTCTACCTTCTACTGGGGACCCTCAGCAACAAAGGCACCTTTATCCAACCAGCTCTGGGGTGGCAGTGGCCTCCTGTTGTTGCTGATCGTGAGTCGTCGCTGTTGGCTTCTCTACTTTTCCATCACCCATGGAAGTCATCACCTTCTCACCTTCCACCAATCCTCACTTTAGATACTCAGGTCATGTCCATCCTCACAGACCCACTTGTAATATACTGGCGCTGAACTAAGGCCTTACTGGCATTCCTGAGACCAGCCCTCAGAGACTCCTGTTTTACATGAGGACCTGGGGCTCAGAGATGAGAAAGGACTTGCTCAGGCTTGCTCATCTGGTGAGTAGTTCAGACCTGCACCTGTATGGAGCAAGCCTAGATTCCCTCTCACTCCTCTACTTGCTTCTCTGAGCTTCTGTCTCCCATCTTTAGAAGAGCCATAGGTGGCCCATCTGGTTATCTAGCCTCAAGTAGCAAATGCTGCCAGTGAGTACTGCCATGTGCTTTTCTGTGGCCTTCAGCCAGTTTGAGGTGGGCGGCTCTCCACATGCCTGTCTCGTGTGTGGCGGCAGTGCCTGAGGTTGTACACTGACCAGATCATTTGATTACCCTTAAGAAGGAACCTAAAATTAGCTCTCTTTGGGGATTTTTCATTTTATTTACTAATTTTTTTTACTTAAGTTATTGCTGGTTTCCACAGGTGTGGGTTTGAAGCCAGCATTGGTAAGGATTTGCAGTTTGATTGTTCCCTGATGAATGTATAAGTGGCAGTGCTGTCTATTTCTGAGTCCTTCTCTAGCAAAGTGAACAGTTTTTGTGGCATGAGATGAACAAACATCCAGTTCTGCAAATACTATCTTTCCAGTTCCAGAGATGGAACTACTTTTACCTTGCAGTCCAGAATGCAGTCTCAATCTGCAAAACTAAAGGCAATGTACTTCCTCTAATATAATGGGATATTAGAGTCAGGGGAATAAAAACATCATCTAGGACAAAATAAGAAAATCAAGTCTTACAGAAGTTAAGTGACTTGCCTAAGGTCACTCAGTGTATTGGTGGCAGAAGCAAGGCTAGAACCCAACACGCCTAGCTCCTGTTCCTCATTGGTCTGGTTGTGGAGTGGGAGGTCATGACCTGGTTTTGTAATTACAGTTGGAATTACTCCATGTGGGTTATTGGCCAGATGCCAGCAGGACCCTGGGGGGTCAGTTAGGGCCATAACCTCATGATTTGAAGACCCCTAAATAACTACTGTGGTACAGAAATAGACTTGGCATGGCTGTGTCTTTCGGTAAGGATTTATCCATAAACATCTTAATTTTATTTACTAGGTTGTCTCCACACATAATAGCATGCATTATTAATAGAGTAGCTTAATACTATCTAATAAGTAGGCATACTCTTTGCATTGTAAAATGAATCTCTCTTTTACGATGTACTTTTACAACACCATGAGACAACAGTGCATGCTCAGAATATTCTAACAGGCTTCCATTTGACCCTATGTGGAAATACAAAAGGCTATCTGTGTCTGACTTAATAGTTTAGCCATCCATGTATAAGCACATCTTTAAGTAGATACGGTCTGCTGGTCTGAAGGACCCAGACAGACTAAGCCTGTGGTTCTGAAACCCTTATTCTCCCCAACTGCCCAAGTTTGTCCACTACCTCCAATGGTGAGTCATGGAGATTTCATCTGCCACCCACGGCCTTGTGACCGCTACAACCATGGAACTGTGGTGGAGTTCTACTGTGATCCTGGCTACAGCCTCACCAGTGACTACAAGTACATCACCTGCCAGTACGGAGAGTGGTTCCCTTCCTACCAAGTCTACTGCATCAAATCAGGTGAGGTCATAGGCCCTACCCTTGGAAGAGGCTTTCCCTATGTGGGCAGCCTGCACACATGGCCAGGCTAGGTCCTGAGTTGCATTCACCACCCCCCAACACACACACACACCCAGCATCAGGAACAGGCTGTAGAAACATATCGTTGTGAATATGGCAAGCCAACGTTGGACTCTACCACATGATTCTAGACCCTTTTCAAGGCCTAGAGTATTAACCTGCCTGTTTCCAGGCTAAAATACTAACCCTCTGAACAGGGTCCTTAAACCCCTGGCATCTATGGAGGGGCCTTAGCCTCTATGCACAGTGTTCTCCCAGCCTTGGCCCCTTGCTCTTGCAAGTGTCACCGTAGTTGTTCAGGTGATGCATGACTTTGCCTCTGTCTTCTACTGAAGGACACATGTCAGAATATAGACAATATTCTGTGGTAACATCTGTTCTCACTTACAGAAATGGAGACCATTTGCGAGCCCCACTGCTTCCTAGTTAATAACAGATTACTTGCAAATCAGCTTCACCATTGGTCTAAGTGTACCTGTGGCATGCACACACTGTCTCCTACCCTTCCTGATCCTGCCCACTCCCTCCAGTGTTTTCCAGGCCATGACCATGTCTGCTGCCCTGAGCAGTAGTGATGGCTGTATACTACATCTCTGGACACAGCTTGTAAGAGAAATGCTTATTAATGCTTGGTATCTGGAGGGGAGAATTCAGATGGTCATGTGAGCCAGTGAGGGGAAAAGTGCAGTCTAAGAGGATAGCCACTGAGTATGATAGGGGAGGGAGAAGGCAAGGATGCAGGGTGGCTTGTGCAAAAGGATAAAAATCTGTTCTGGAATGGTCTGCTCTTACTGCACCTTGCATGGCAGACACCTGATGGCCAGAAGTGGTGGAGTGAAGGCCAAAAATCAGGCCTGTCCCATTTATCCTCCACTTCCTTACTCATCCCACTATCCTTCACCTCAGTCAATGATATGCATAGAACATTACCAAGGTCTTCAGCCCAGCTTCCTACTCTCTCAGCCCTTGGTCTATTTCAGAATAACTTCTTCAGAGGAGAGAGATTCCTCTTCAGTCTCTGCCCAAGAAGCAGGCACATCCTTCAGAGCTAGGTCAGGCTCTTGTGCTAAATCTGGAATGTGAACATTCAGGTTTGTTTTCAACACAGCAGAGCCTATGCTGTGCATGAGTTTTAGTGTTGTGTGGCTACTAATGCAATTTAGGAGCTGTACTGGGTCCATGGTTTCTCTCTTGAGCCCTGGAGGGCCAGGAAGTAGGATATGGGTGTCTCATGTGCCAGATGTATCTAACAAAGAAGTGTGTAGGGGACTTCAGCATCTGTCACAATTGGGGAGCCTCATGCATGGCTTCATTCTCTCTTGTCACAGAGCAAACATGGCCCAGCACTCATGAGTCTCTCCTGACCACATGGAAGATCGTGGCATTCACAGCAACCAGTGTGCTGCTGGTGCTGCTGCTTGTCATCCTGGCCAGGATGTTCCAGACCAAGTTCAAGGCCCACTTCCCCCCCAGGTCAGTGCAACAGAGAAAGCATGTGATGAGTGCAAAGTCAGGGGACTCAAGAGGAGCTGCAGAGAGCTAAAACACTTTCCTCAGATGCCTTGGGTCACCTGGGTCAGAGTACCATTCTGGAGAAGGGCCTCATTTCCCTTTTCCTCTTCTCCCAGCAGGTCATTCTGGGGCAGATACTGTGAGAGCAGAAGAAAGGGAACAAGTTAGGGCTCCAAGCTGTGTTCTGTCCCAAGGGCAGCCCTCCTATGGGTGACCAACTTCATGTGACCCTGGAGGACAAGACATACACACACTTGGTGAGAAGACAAGGACAGTGTGTGACACAACAGAAGGCAGCTAGTGGGTGTGATGGGACATCTTAGGAAGGAAAGCATATCATGGGTGGAAACCAGGAAGGGGCTGCTGAGAATCGACTGGAAGTTGGATCTGAGCCTGCAGAAGGCAGCTCTCCATCCTCCTCAGCTACACCAGTGAATTCAGCTTGGTAGGCCTCTTCACCCCACAGTTGTTGTCACCATTTGGAACCTAATGCTTCAGAGCAGGGAAGTCATTTTTCCTCACAGGGACAGAATATTGCATAAGAGGAGAAGGCTCTTGGAATTGACTGCTTTTCTCTTCCCTCCAGCAAAGTCTAGTATCTCTCTCACACCTCCCAAATGTGTGAGGAGTGAGGGAAGTGGCAGCTTCCTGGAGACAGAACCCATTCCTTTCCCTGAGCCTCCTGCCTCCGGCACAGCCTCACCTCACTTAGCAGTGCTCTCCCCTGCCTGGCAGCAAGAGCCCCATGTGGTCACACCTTCAGGCACCTCACTCTCTCGAGCCACAGAAAATATGTAGGTGTGGGTGTCCTTGCACCCCTCCCCAGGCCCAGAGATGTGTCAGTGATGCCATGGAGCCATAGCCAAGCCCTTGCTGAGGTGCCAGAACCTTCCTTCCTCTCAAACCTGCCCCTTGGTTTTCAGCATTATTATTTATTAATCAAGGAATCATATTCTATCACTGGGCAATTACACTTTGTAATTTTTAGGCTTACAAAGAGAAAGCTAAACTGTGTGACTGTGATTGATACTGCATTAGAGTATTTCAAACTGGCCCACAGAGCTATTTTTCTACCTATACTTGGACAGAGTTTCTAGGATATCAACTAAATAGTAACATGTTTTCAAAATGTTCTTCAAAACTCTTTCACTTGATGCTTTTAATCCCTTGAGTCTTTCCATCTTTTGTCACTGTGTAGTTGTTTAGGGAAAGTTGGTTATCTATCCAAATGGATGGTAAGATTCACAAAGCCAAGCCAAGGTCTGATTTTGTTCTCTAGATCCCATGAGAGAAGATACCACTGAGATGTATGATGTCAGAATGTATGGGAGCTGAGCAGCTGGCTGGGTTTAAAAAGCTTCCAGATCACAGGGGCCATGGACTGCGCCTGGGCTATTAACGGGAGAAATCAGAGTATAGAGGGGCATGTGCCCACACTGGCCTGGACAACTGGGAGGTGAAAGGGACAGAGGAAGTAGGAAGTCCTGAGTAAGAAGCAAAACCCAGTGGAGATGGCAAGGTTGCCAGAGGAACAGAACATCATTTGTTGAGGCCACTGTCTGTGGTTGCAGAGAACATCTGGATTGGAGTGAGCTCCTCTTTCCCTGTTGCCTCCTGCCTTTTGGGAGTGTGGGGCTGGGGAGTCCACCCACTCTGGATGTCCTTTAAGGATTGTGGAGCAAGAGGGCCACTGCCATAGTCTTCCAGAGTCTTGGAAGATGTTTCAGATAGACAGTGGATTCAAAATTGCCCCTCACATGTTAGAGAAAAGTGCAGCCTGATGCTGCCCCTCCCTGCACCTCAAGTGCCAGGTCCAGACATTACATGTATTTGTTTTTGAAGCCCAAGCCAGTAGCACTCACAGATTGAGGTATGCCCACCCAAATTGGTCACCTTCTCTTCTTGATATGTCACCCTCCTGTCCTCAATTCCTAGGAGAGGACATAGGAAATCAAGCTCTGTTACTTGCTACTTACTTGCTACTCTGGGCTCTGGGCTCCTTCTGGGGTCAAGAGCAGAGCATGGCAGCCACATGGGGCACAGACATTGGTGTGAAACATCACCTGTGTTCCAGTCTGATGGTGCTAGATATGTAGAGTGAGTTGGAAGTGGTCATGAGCCCATGGAACTTGAATGGCACAGTCAGAGAGCACTCATGGTCTGCATTTTCTTTTTCTCATTTTTAAAAATCATTGTCTAAAAATGAGTGTATTCTTTTTTTTACTGCAGTAAAAAACAAACAGGAAGTGTAACAGGAGCAGGCTGGCTGAGCCCTGTGGGTACTTTGGGTCCACCATTCCCTAGGTGTTCAGCAGCACTGTTCCACTTTCCATAGCCATCCCCTGGACACAGCACAGGCACATTGGATGCTCTGTTGGAATGGACCCTGTAGTCACCCTCCCCACTAGTTCATGACCCTAAGGCCAAGCCCAGAGGCCAAAGGAGGGGAAAATGAAGGACAAAGAGGTAGTAGAATCCAGAAGCAACAGGAAGAGAGGAGAGAGGCAGTGGGACATGAAAGTAACAAGAGGAAAACCTCCTGCCTCCAGAGTATGGCCCAGAGCAGACTGGAAAGGAGGCTGGATTATTCTGCACCACCATCCACTCTGGGCCCTGCTGCCCATCATGGGCCCTGAGGACCCCTGATATGGTAGGAAGCACTGGTGACCTCATCCCTGGGGAGGCATGGCACTCTATCATGTTTATACTGTTTCCTCTGCACAGGGGGCCTCCCAGGAGTTCCAGCAGCGACCCTGACTTCGTGGTGGTGGACGGTGTGCCCGTAATGCTCCCATCCTACGATGAGGCTGTGAGTGGCGGCTTGAGTGCCTTAGGCCCTGGGTACCTGGCCTCTATGGGCCAGGGCTGCCCCTTACCCGTGGACGACCAGAGCCCCCCAGCATACCCCGGCTCCGGGGACACGGACACAGGCCCGGGGGAATCAGAAACCTGTGACAGCACCTCGGGCTCTTCCGAGCTGCTCCAGAGTCTATATTCACCTCCCACGTGCCAAGGGGGCAGCCGCCCCACCTCCGACAACCCTGACACCATTGCTAACACAGCAGGGGAGGTGGCGTCCACCAGCCCGGGCATTGACATTGCAGATGGTGAGTGTTTCCCAAAGCTACCCACAGTCTCCCCAGCCCGCCCTGCTTCCCAGCCTGGAGCTGCATTGATCTGCTTAACTCTCCCTCAGCTCCCATTGCTTCTTGCTCTCTCTACTTGTAGAGGCCACAGGCAAGACCAGTTATCATAAGGAATGATCATCACTTTAGGAGTAATGAGCCTATTAATGGAAATTTCAGAAGGCCCAAAAGGGCACTGAGCCATCCAGAGTCAAAAGGCTATGGCAGCCAGTACTTTGTTTTCATAGCCTCTGTATAATGCGGTATGTTTCTCTTCTTCATCCTTTAATTGTGTAAGACTTCTAAAAGTACGGTTTATGAACAGAATAACACATAGGCAGAGGATGATCCAGATGGATGGGTGCACCTAGGCCCTGCAGTGTCCTACCCCTAGAGAAATGCTGTGTACATGGAAGTCACTTTTACCTGATGTGAAGTAAAAGGTGGATTTATACCTGTTGCAGAGAAAGCCAGGTTGCAGCTCATGATAAAGTAGGGAAAATATATACGATTAACCAAAGCCCCACTTCCCAGGAGAGGGAAACCCCAATGCAGCTTTGCAAATGAAAGCACTAATTCCAGCTTGTAGCCACAAAAATGACAATAGCAATGCAAGAACAGAAGCCTCTGGGTCCCCAGAATTCCTTTCCAGTATACCACACTGCCTGTCTGCACTTGAATTTGTAACATTTTTGCCTGTGCAACTATGGGAACCTACTGTTAAAATCTAACATTTTTTATGACCTCAGAATAAGATCATGATTGTTTTTCAAGCAAATAGATGCTTTGTTGGGAGAGTTGGTTTATTTGATTTTTAACTGATACATGAAAGTTAATGTTTTTTCTCTTCACTGATTCCCAGAATCATACATATATATGTATATCTATGTCTATATATACAATACATATATATATATATATATATATGTATCTTTTTTTTGCAGTACTGGGGCTTGAACTCAGGGCCTACACCTTGAGCCACTCCACCAGCCTTTTTTTTGTGATGGGTTTTTTTGAGATAGGGTCTCACATAACTATTTGCCCAGACTGGCTTCAAACTGTGGTCCTCCTGATCTCTGCTCCTGAGTAGCTAGGATTATAGGCATGAGCCACAGCACCCAGCCATAGATCTATTTAATGAGGCTCAGAATTTCAAATTCTGGTGGTTTTTGGTTGCACTAAGCTAATAACCATCTCTTCTTTTACAGAAATCCCTCTGATGGAAGAAGATCCATAACCTGGTGAAACTTGATGATGCTACTGCCCCTTTGGGGAAAGGAACCTGGAACCTTGGAGTGAGGCCACAGAAGGACAGAGCTTGGGGGACATTTTCTATTTTTTGTCCATGGGGACAGTGGTTTGCATTGTACATCGCCAACACTGCAGTGAGTCTGACAAACTGCAATGGCAGCACTTTCAAATGAGACTGAAGGATTTTCCAAGACCAGTGAGGTAAAAGGGGCAGAGGGGACACCCCTGTGCTGCCCTGGATGAAGGTATTAAGTGTGTTTTGTGCTGCAGAATGTGAGACAGTTCCACACATATCCTGCTGAATCACACATCCTGATGACTTCTGTTATGAGTACTCCCTGCCCCTCTGAAAGCATGTCACATTATGTAAATTTGCTTCCAAAATCTGCTTCAAGCTGTCTCAGGACTCCAAATTCAGATGGGTCAGTCTCTGCAGAAAGTCTGCATTGAGCAGCCAGCAAGGAGCAGAGCTTCCTTGTGCCCTCAGTAAGGGCCAGGCTCCCAAGGAAAGACTTCATGTGACATTCAGACCATCTTCCTTCATCTGGACAGCTCCACTCAATGCAGGATGTGGCAGTTCCAGTGACAAGCAGACTCTGCTTTCTGGAAATTTCTTCCAAAAGTAGATCTCCTGTACCCTGTGCTGTCCTCTGGTGACAGAGCATCAGTATTTGTGTTCACGATATGGCACATGGGTCCATGGTGTGGGATAACTCCTGTGACTTTACACATGGTTAGAATGAGTTCAAATGCATCTCATGGTAGAGAAAGTAACCAAGGTGATGTTTGGTTTGGACATTTCAAAAAAAACTCCACTCAACAATTTATCTGAGTCATACTTTCTTCTCTGGGTGACTGTTATGTTGACCCTACTCCAAACTTAACCGTACTTTTATTTTCCTAACAGAAATTGCTTCCATAAACATATTCTGCCTCCAAAGAAAGTATAAAGTTGGATTCTTTCCCCCCACTTTATTTCATCCTGCAATGTCAGGAACCTGTCACCAGCCCCAAGACTGCCCTGCCCTCCCCTCTTGCTTCACAGCCTTTGGCTACCTGACCTGCCTGCCATCCTGCATTCCTACTGAGGGTGGGATCTCATGGCACACACTGGGTGTTGTTCCTAAGAAATTGACTGATTTAAAAAAAAAAAAAAAGGCCTAACTCCAGAACTGTCTCTTCAAATACATGTTGGTCTGTGGAGTTGACTTCCTTTCTTCCTCTGGGTTTTAGACAAATATAGACAAAACTCAGATCCATAAAACTGCCATGCTGGCAGAGCAGTGAGGGTTGGAAGCTTGATCAAGTCCTGTTTTTTCTTGACACAGACTGATTAAAAATTAAAAAGAAAATGACAGTTTGAAGCGTGACTTTAATAGTGCAGTGGAGTTGGGTGGGCGGGAAAGGGTTGGCAGTGATCATGGGTGATGAAAATAAAACGTGGGATTAAGAACACAAGGCTGAGCGAGGCTGCACATGGGAAGGACTGGCCTAGCCGTGCTTGATGCAAGCTGCCCTCAGGTGGTGGTGCCACCAGCCACAACTGGTGCTGAGCACGTGGTTACGGCACCGGGTAATTATAGATGGCTTGAGTGACAGCCTCACACTGCCCCTGGCATAGCTTCATGTCACCAGCTCGATTTATTCAAAGGAGCTGGTGTTTACAGCCATGTGTGGTTAGGTGTCACATGGCCCTTCCCCATTCCTGCACCTATCCTCCCTCCAGGGCCCTGTACACAGGGTCATATCCCAGAGATCACCAGGTAAGTGCCTCGTTTCCTGTGGGACAGGCTGGAAGAGGCATGTGGGGCTGTCTCTGGGGTTGCCCCTGCTTTCTTCTAGGAAATGTTTCAGCAGCCACCTCACCTGCAGACCAAGTACAGGACTGCCTTCAGCCCAGCCCGTGGGGAGACAGATGCCTTAGGTGTCAGGATATTCATGTCAGCATGTGTGACGGTAAGGCCTGCTTAATTGTGCGTCAGACAATGCCCAACCAAATCTCAGGACCCTCCTGCCATCCCTCTACTTTGCCACCACAACAGTTGCCACATATGCACGTCAGAATGTGCATATGTGACAGAAAGAGTCTTATGGTATTCCAAGCATGTCGTGATACTGACTTTCATTTCTTTAAAATGTCCTGGGAGGTCCTCTGGGTGTGAGGGAGAGGAATCATCTTTCTCATGCCACCTCATGTATGGAAACAGACCTGGCCATGTCATGAATTGGTGTCCTAGCAGTGTGAGAGAGAACCATGACCAACACAGGTGCTCCCCACCTTGGAAGGGGCAGCCCCCACAGGAGTGTGCAGCTGAGAAGCCCAGGGTGCTGCACCGGCCAGCTGAGGGGGTCACCTAAGAAACTATAAGGCAAGACTTTCTGGCTGACTTGCTCCCCATCACAGCACAGCAGAAGTCACAGGCTTCTTCACACTTCATTTCCATGTAGCTTTTCTTAATTGCAAGGTTGTGATTTGCTGGTGTGGAATCTTTATGCTCTTTCCCACCTAATTACACCCAGTCCAGCAGCTGGCACAGGGACAAGACTGCTTCCTATTCCTATAGAAGTCAGAACTATTGGCCCCTGGCCACACAGCAGGCCTAGGACTGTGACATGCAAAAGACCCTGGGCCACAATCCACTGTCTTCTCACACTCCTTTCCCCTTTCCTCAATGCCCAGCAAGCAATCTCCACCCTTAATAAGGCCATCTCTTAACTGTTCCTTGCAGAGGCCATACAGCATCATGGGAGAGCATGGGGTTTGGAAGGGGACCTTACCTGCCTTCACTACCTGCCTTCTCTACTACCTGAATATGCACTTGGACAAGTTACTGACTTCTCTGAACCTTGATTTCTTCATTTCTTCATGTAGAAATCAGAGGTGGTTTATACCTGCACTTTCCTCACCAGGCTGGGGAAGGAGACTATTTAATAAAGTCAAGCACCCAGCACACAGTGGTCATACAACACATTGCCACTGCTGTCACCTCCCATGAGTTGGGAGGGAGGCTGTCATGTGTGTGATTCACTCCCACATGCATTCCCAGGCACATTAGACTTCCTTGGCCCTTCACCCTCTAAGGCATTTATAGGTAAAGCTTGTGTGCAAATGTCCAAAGCAGATGGTATACAATGAACTATGCCTGCTTCCCTGGCATCCTCTTCCCAGGAGCCCATCAGGCATTTGCTTTCCTTCCCAACATAGCCCTTCTCTGAATGCTACAGAAAGTTCTGCTCAGGGAGGGCAGAACAACCTCAGAAATCCCCCCAAGGACTCTGAAGGACTCAGCTCATCTCCACAAGCAGCCCTGTAGATTATCACTAACCTGCCTCCCTAATTTTATTGTCTATTTTGGATTTAAATCATAAAAGTTAATGCCCATACATTTCCAAGGTGATAAAGGGGAAAGTCCACAGTAAAGATGCCTGGTCTAGCAGACAAAACAGGGCCCCTGAGAGCAGCAGTCACTTGTCAGGGAGGGTGAATACTGAGTTCCATGGTATTGAAATCATAAAACTTAATGCAGAGTGAGTGAGTTGATGTGGCGATGGTTAACTGCCATAGCAGGCAGTGTACCATCCTACACTAGGCTGGAAACCAGTCCCTGAGTGCCCGCAGTGCATCATTTTAAGTGGCCCAGCTACCTGCCTTGCCTCATCCATGGGTTCCAAGCCACTTTGGTGGCCAGGGGAGAGCTGGCCCCCTGTTCCTGCAAAGAGGAAAGAGACCTAATCCCAGCAGAAACAGTTTGGGCAAGGGGCATGGAATGTAACCTGAGGAAACTCAGGTCATTATTTTCTGCTAGAGCCTGTGAGAACTATTTATAGACCCTATTTTCATCAATAAGATTTTTTTTCTAGACAGGATCTCACTATGTAGCCAAGCCTGGCCTAGAACTTGCAGTCCTCCCACCTCCACTTCTCAAGTACAGGGATTATAGGCATGCACTGCCATGCCTAGCCATCATTGAATCTATTAAGCATCTACTGTATGCCAAGCCATCTGTACTCTCTAGTCCAGTGCACAATAAGGACTGGGAAGCAGGCATCTTTGATCTGGAAGCTGCAGGACACACCTGGCCTCAGCATGGACTCTCAGGGAGTACCTTCTCAGGAGAGACTGTCACACTAGCTGCAGGCAGAGGGGGAGATGAGTGGAGGTAGGCAGCAGGCTCCCAACTCCCAGAGTTGAGTGCCTTTGGGAAACTTCCAAGGCCTAGGGTTGGAGTGGGAAAGGGGAGAGGTGGAACTGCAAGGTCAATGAGGGCCAGCCCATAGAGGCCTCAGAGAAAGTCAGTGGTTCGCCCCAGAGGAAGGGGTTTGAAGCCAAAAAGTTGGTAGGGTGAGATGAGAACAAGTGAGGGGGTTGAGAGCTACTCTGTGGACAGATTGAATCTGCAAAGCACAGACCTAAGAGTTGGGGACATCTGAGATCAGATGCCACTGATCAGGAGAACCCTTCCAGACTCCCATTTCCTCAACTATTCAATGAAAGGAAAAGATGTCTTCCAACTCTGACAGGGTGGAAATTCTCTTTTCTAGCTCTTCTTCTTTTATTTTTAATCCATAATCAAGTATCATCCAGCTCCATCCCTCCAATCGTCTTTACAACCTCCCACTCCTGCTTGTCCTTCCCCCATAGCTCCAGTCTGACACTTACCCAGTGCCTTCTACCATGGGCACCAGCAGCTCAGGAGCAGCCCAGCCCCATACCCCTTTAGGGAGGGCTCTATACTCTAGAAACTGCAGGTGCCCTTGGTTTGGGTGAGTGGGAGATGAGACACTAGCCTGCAGAAATTCTGGCCTCTTATGGCACTTCTCCATTCTTCCATGTGTCTGGCCTCAGCCAGGAGCAGACAGTACCAGTAGGTAGACTTCCTAAAGATCATTTTAGAGTAATAACTTGGAGCAACTAAAAGCAAGAAATCTATTAGACTGATGTGGACCACCGAGTCTTTAGAATTCTGTAGCATTTCCTGTTCTAGGAAGAAGTTCACTCCCTTTATGGGTGGGGGAATAGGAAGGAGAAGATAGGTTGAAGTTGGCAGAGCCCATGTTGTACATCTAACCCAAGGGACAAGGAGGCGGCCTTTCTCTGTATATATCTTCATTCCTGTGAC